AAAAAAAAAAAATCTATTCCTAGAAACTTCCATTTTGAGAAAATCCTATTTTTGGAGATTAAAAAAAATGCAGTATTTTTCATAAACATTAGGGATTTACGAACAATGTAAAATTTTTAAAGTCTTAAACATGTAATGAAATGAAGAATCCTTGACACGTAGCGCTCACAACTCGATCACTCTCCAATTGATCTAAAGTATGAAAAGAAATGTCATTTTTTTAGCATGATTATGAGTTTTCTTACTTTATGTTAGGTACTATTATGAGTATGTCAAAGTCAAGTATCTAAAACTTTTCAAATAGTTAAAGTAATTTCGAAGACGAAATTTTTTAAGGAGGGGAGATTGTAACACCTCGAAAATTTTAGAAAAAAAATTATTTATTATATATACCATATTTTATTCTTTAAAAAATTGAGGGACTAAAGTGATATACGTATTAACTTACTATGCTATTGTTATAAATATATCTATGTTATTGTTATATAATTGCGTATGGAAACTGCACGTATCTTATTGAGTGTTTTTAAAATACTCACTTCTACAATTTTTTACAGACTAGATCGGGTTGATTGGAGCTGTGGCGAAATGGTGCAACAGGACTGCCAATGGGTTTCGACATACAAAAATAATAAGTTTGATGCCTTTAAATTCATTAGTTTGTTTTGTTGAATAACGTTATTATCGAATTTATTATTTGAGAATGTAAGTTTCTTTTAAAAGACACGATTTATTAATTCAAATTCAAATTTATGGATGTTCTGATATTTTGTTATTAAAGAATTTTATGGTTCCGCATTTTAAGTAAATAAATGTAAATGAAATTAATTTTTGGTAACACATCAAGACGTATGAAATTTTGGGGCATTACAGATACGTTACTAGAACAACAACCGAGCCAGATGAAAATGATCCTACTCGTGCAACATGGATGCCCAGAACTCAATGGTGATGGCATGGATTATTAATTCTATGGGAGAGGATATCAAAGAATCCGATTTGTATTACTCTACCGCAAATGAACTATGGAATGCTCTTACCGTGGCCTTCTCTGATATGGAGAACTCTGTCCAACTCTTTGAACTCAAGAATAAAGCTCGTGAAATTCGCCAAGGATTTTGTGGAACTTTTCCTAAATTCAGTATTAAGCTCGATTGCCATAAAGACAATGAAAGTGAAATGATCAGCCAGAAGTTGATGTGATTTTTGATGGATTCGCTATCTTCAAGTTTAATCCGACCGACTTGATTAAACACCCAGAAGTTTTGTGGGTGGGTGTAGGTGGGTGCAACATGTTATGGGTTTCTAATGGACACTATATTCAGGGTAGTAGGTTGGCTAAATAAGTCCACCAACTTCCTCAGACCGAGAGATTCTTTTTCACCTCACTTATGATCGGAGTTTTTGCAGAGGAGAGAGGGCAGGGGTACGGTGTTCTGAATTCCTATAATTTTTCAACTTTCACCTTAAGAACAAGTTTGTTCCAGTTAATTGTTAGGTTTTTTAAGGGTACCATGCAGAATGTTAGAGGCATCTAACTATAAAATGGGGAATAGTCAATTTGGGAGAGAGATTAGCCTCTCAAATGCTTATCAACTATGTAGTTTATTCATAAATACATTTACAAATTTAGTTTCTGTTCTTTAGCCGCATAATATGCGTTGGTTCCTATCAGAGTGGCAAGATTGATTTACATTGATTAGTTAAGAGATTGAATGTAACTTAGAAGTTCTTGGAGTTATCCCACAATAGCCAAATATAATATTAAATTTGCGTGTTGTAACTTGGTGCATCCATGAGATGGGGTGCATCTAGGGTCCATGTCACTTAAAACTGTCAGACATTGGCAATAGGTATTGATTTTGTTCAACAAACGATGAAAGAGGGTGACAGGTGAGAATATATGAAGAAAAAGGCATTTTTGATCAACGCGTATAGGTGATGAATATGGAAGAAAAGAAAACACGAATGAAATGCCAGTGTGTGTAATCATAAGAAAGCAAGAATGAGCAAGCAGATTCAAATTAGAACAAACCTTGAGGTTTTCCAGGTCCAAAAAATTGTTAACAAACATTTAATGAGTAGAATTACACAAGAAAGAAGCACTAGCCATATTTTCACCAGAACACAGAAAAGATGGTAATCATACTATCATCTCTACTAAGAAAAAACCATCCACATAATGTATTAATCTTTTCAGTTCTAAGAAAATGTACTTTAAACAATCAAATAGTACTTGTCTGTTATTGCTCATGCCAGAGTTACAAAGGACTCTTCAGATATTTGCATATGGAGAATACCTTGAACTAGTTGAGATGACAAGAAGTGAGGTGAGCAGATAACGGTGGAAAGAAATGAACGAGCCATTTGACTAACATCCAAGTATATAAACCAAAAGGATACAGCAGAAAAGAATAGTACCTGAAAAGCATTGATCCTGAAAAGTAGATAATTGGTTGTCTCTGCAATAGTTAGACTTCTTCCCCACAGTCATAATATAAAGTCAGAAATATCGTCACACACAATGTTTTGTAGAATTGCAAACCGGTCGCTGTCAAGTTGTATTGAAGTTATGCATATGTTTTATAGTAAAATGCCAATAAAGATAACATCCAGTGCTCTAATATTGATGACACAAGCCTCAAATAAATTTAACAATGAATTGACATTTATACAAGGAATCACAGTGCCAACCTGTGTAACAGGCTTGTAAAGATAAAACAGAAATCAAATACTGAAAGGAAATACTACAGCAGAATGTAACTAAGGAATGAGCCAATGGCACTACAACAAAATGAATGAAAATATATAGAATTTTGCAAAATGTTGAGATCACGAGATTTCTTATAGTTTATGATTTGCCACAAGATTAGTAAGTGTAAATCCAGTTATAGATAATCAACTGACATCAACCCTAAACAACCATGCATTGTAGAAATTATAAAAAAAATAAAATAAAACTTTAGAATATTCTGCCTTCTATATCTGTAACCTTGACTCTAGAAAAAACAAAAAGGAATGTGAAAAATCTTGTAAACAAACTCCAATAGACATCGGATTATACAACTGTCTTAACTGAATGAAGGAAACATGGTGACCAATTGTTAATAAAAGCTCATAGGAACATACCTCTCTTAGGCAAAGAACCTTCTCGAGAAATGCCTTAAACATATCCTTCCTATCATAGAAACAAATCCAAGCAGCCACATTCTCTCGAAACTGCAATTTCCAAATTTCAAATAAGGGGCAAGTCTGTGTGGGTGGTGGGGAGTGTCGGTGATAAGGAACAAGAAAGTTTTAAACTTTGAACTTCTGAATCTCCAAAAGACATAAAAAATAAAAAATCATTCAATTCGATTTTACAATGCACCAGACAGCCATGAAAAATTAGAACTTGACTTCACATGTTAATGGTAAAACCAGCTAAACTAGGCATGAAACATAGCCCCTGTTTGACTCTCTTTAAATTAAAACTCTCTATTTCTCATACCCATTTTCAACCACGCATTCACACAATAAAATATTCTCCACAAACCCAAACTTTTCCGTACTTTTTAACCACACATTCTCAAGAAAAATAACTATTCAAAACATCAATTTCCCCCAATTTTTCTTTATATATATAATGGCCATCAAACAGGGTCAAAATATCTTTCCATAGCTATGACCCCGCAAGACATCATTTTCTCCTTACAAGCCTTAGCAACCAGTATAGTGTAACACAAAAAGAGGGAAACCTCCAAGTTTCAAGAAATTCGGATGTTAATAGTTTTGAAATATAAAACTGTAGAATAACACCCTTCCCACCTTTCCCCATGGAATCCAAGTCCAGGATACATCATTAGCACTGCAGAACAATCCCCTCATGTGGTAACAATGCTTGCTTAGATCAGTTGTCGATTTTTCAACAAGACAACCTTTATCATTTTACAAAAAGGCATTTTTTTATGCGTAGGTGATTAATTCTTAAAATCGAATAATGTAAGCAGTGGCATATGATTCATTTTTTCTGTTTCTTTTGCACGCCTGTTTATCAACCAAATGATACTTGCACAAAATAAATTATTTTTGCATGAATTGTCTCTATACCTTCTCATTGATCATAAGTATCATCGACATTACATGCTCAAATGTAGCAGTCTCCTGATCAAAGTTTGGCAAAAGGTAATTCTCTAGGTACTGACTGACTTCCAATATCATCACCCTCTGCAATGGCACTGGCTTTCTTCCACCTACATCCAAGAATTTTTAAGTCAGTAATCCGAAATCAACAACTATATTTGATTGAGCTGATGCATATGGGCGTGTGTAAATTCGCATATGTAACAGGGTCAATACTAGTAAACTGATTTGTAAATTAGAATAAGAAACAGGTTCTTATCTACTGAGCTGATTTGAAAACATGTTCCGCTAAAATCCTGTTCATAATCATTACAGGAAGTCGTAGCAATTACATTCATTTAACAGCTTATTATCAGATTCAATTCCATAAACAAATTGGCAACCTTTCTTCAAGCACCAGTTATAAAATTAATGCATCCAGTAGAGAGCCTACCTATTAACCACACTGGAGCTAGTTCTAAAAGCCACCGCAGAATGGTTAGGGTGTGGGTGTGGGTGTTGACCCCGACTGACAATGTTTATGACCTGATAATTTGGTCAAAAATTAATTTTGGCTTTGGATATGGGTACGTGGATACATCTTTCATGAAACTCATGAGCTAATATGGGTATCTTATAAGATATTTTATACAACTTCAACATTTGGATGGTGGCAGTTCATTTTAAGAAAGAATGTTCAAAATTACCATAATATAAGATTTTTGGGGGAGAGCCTACAGACTACAGAAGGTGTGAAAGGTGTTGGTAATGGAAAAATTCTTTGCCAACTCTTTCTGCAACTTGTTTATCAGATGTTCCAAAGGGACTCTTGCTTGGAAGGTGGTATGGGACATCAATGCCCTAAGTCTTTAGTCATTGGGATGGGATCAGCTGGGGCTATCTTGATTCTTGATGGGAGATTATTCCAGGGAAGGATGACAATTTGTGTTAAACCTGGTGCTGCATGTGCAAAACATCTGGTGAAACTGCTCATCGTTTATTAAGCAGTGGTTTTCGAATGGGTAGTGAATGCTGTAAAATAATTGTTGCCTAGTTGGAAGCTGGTGTCTATGTAATGAGCTAGAACTGGATGCAGATAAATCATAGGGCTTTTATGGTGTGGAAATGCCACAGCAGGGATTGAAAACGTATTTGCCATTTTACAGGACTTTTTGGTCCCAGAATTCCAATCCCAAGCTTATATGACAACTGGATGGACTTTCCAGATTATTTTGCTAAAGATCAATAGTTTTGCAATTTTGGAATGAATAGCTGCTTTTCCATATGCTGCAAACATACAGTTTTGAGTAACAAAACTACTAAAAACTTGTAAAAAGGAATATAAGTATCTATAAAAATTGATGTAGGAGGCACCCTAGTTACTCAACTGGTAAATTGTATCGCCTAGTTCTTTAGACTTATGCACAAGTTCAAGATTCATATCCAATGCCTAATGATCAAACAAGGGGCGTGCTTACCAATTCCACAGGAGCTCCTAGACATGGAAAAAGTTGTTTTAACTCTGAGAAATAATGGGGGCAGGGACCATGGAAAGTAATTGTCAATGGATTTATAGTATTGTTTATGGATCTAGGGATTTTATAAAGCAGGTTTTCAATAACTCGATGAGGTAGTTAGCTACAGAAAGGGTTGAAGTGCAAACTACAATGGCTAATGGAACCTCGAATTGGCCTAAGGAAACCAGAAACATCTTAGAACTTTGCAACAAAAAATGATATACAATAAGATCTTAATACGAAGAGTAACAAAGGATCTAATACATTCAAGGAATAATATGTTCATTATTACTAGTGCAAGGAATTATCATAAGGAGAGGTTCCTTGGAAAAAAATAGTTTGGGATACAGAATCCCACATTTGCTTTAGAAACTGATTAAGAACACTTCCAGTTTCTACCACATTATGATAAGGGAAAAAAGGGGACTGCATTCACATGACGTTTGTAAAGGTGCTTAATGCAATCAGGTAATGCTAATTCAGGAAGAAGAGTCCCTTGAGCAGTCACAAAGCATAATAAAGAAACACTGATACAGGAGTATGCGGCAACGCTCAGCTGGGTTCGTTAGCAACAAAACAGCAAAGTGAATACAGTAAAAATTCGTCTTTACCTTTAACAGTTAACTCCGTATAGTAAATTTCTTTAACGAGTTCAGCACTAAACGGCTTCTTGGAGCCTTCATCCGATGTCTTCGCCATATTAGCAGCTGCAATTTTCGTTAATCGGTCACGCTGGATCTCAGAAAGTGTAATGGAGCTGGGCAACTTGGAGCCGGGTTTCTACTCCGGAGGCTTCTCTGGAAGATGCGGAGTAGACGGCTACTGTGGAAGCGCCTCTATGCCCACCGGATACTCCGCCACCCTGTGACGCCGGAAATCATACAGTCCGGTTCCATAAATCTTCGTCATTTCCTCAATGAAAAAACAAAATTTACAAATTATAATAGTGCGCTGGATAGGGTTTGCATGTGTTGGGTGTTACAACTTTATTAAAACTTAAATTTTATGATCTTGCCAAGATCTTCATGTCAAACCATCAAGAAACTGAATTAACGCGGAACATACCTTAATCAATTGATTTCTGACTTGATTAATGAATCTTGAATCTGGATCTGTAAATCTTTAGTTTGGTTGCTTCAAATCTCCATCTTAATTCCTGATTGTGGGTTTTATGGATCTTCCTCTTCATATGGTTTCTCTTGTATTCTTGTGTTGATGGGATGCCACAAAGAATGAGAAAATCACACATGAATTGGGGACCATAACCCTTTATATATTTCCATATGTATTCGGCCCATCGTCAAATACAAACCCTAATGGATCCGGTCTCTACACATATAGTCCGGCCCACACTTTAATTAGATGCTTAAAGCCCAATTACTTAATTTCTTTATAGATCACTTTAATTTTGGGCTTAACTTTAAGATAGCGTTTATACACAATTAATTACATATGTCAGCCCATCACGGGAAATTAAATAATTTCCCAACATTGGGTTTTTCAGGGAGGGGAAGGATTAGGGTTTTCGAGGATTTTAAACCTCGGAAGGGAAAGGATGATTTTGGTTCTAAGTTCACAGTGAGGCGATTGATGGAGGTGAAGAAAGTGAGTCCATTAAATGAAGAGTAAATAGAGAGAAGGTCCCCACACTTTTCCGTATGTTTCAATTTGGTCTACAACTTCAAAATAGAGCGTTGAAGTCCTGACATTTTATTTCAGTAGCACTTATGTCCTCTATGGAAGATTTCACCCTACTCTTGAACCCCTATTTGAGCAGGTAAAAAATCTTTATTTAAAACATAAAGTAATTTTTTTTAGCGTACAATATTATTTTATTAAAAAAATATAAGGTTGAAAATGAATTTGAACAAAAAAAATTTTAAACAAAGGAGTCAAAGAGGGACTAAGTTCACCGGCCAATATTTTGTTCAAATGTCATTTTACCTTCGGGCATTATCACTAAACGGACAAAAATTAATTGAAGAGTGAAAAAATGAGAGAAAAATCATCTTCTTCGTATCAAACCCTATCCCCTCAACAATATTATGTTTGAAGTTTTCACTTTCTGGGTAGATTATGGGCTTGTTTTAGCCCCCATTTTAATCAACACTAGTGAATTGAACGTGCGTTGCACGTTAGTTAGATAATATTTATTAAAAATAAATGTGTAAATATGAGAGAAATTCATTTATATACGTAAAAGATACTCATAAGTTGGTTGGAATTGATTTACTTTTCTTCTATTTTCCTTTTTATATTTTTAATTCTTGATACAAACATTTGGTATTTACTGTATTTAACTTCTTGTTACAGCTATTTATTTATTGGAGTTCTACACAATCTTAGAAGCCTTAAGGCAAGAATAAACATAATTATCCATTAATCAGCATTCTCTTGATCTTGAGCCACGCCAAACTTTGCAAACTTCAAGATAAACTTTGGTGTGTGACAAGAGTCCTAGACTAAGACGAGATGTGATTCCAACAAATGCAACAAGGGCAAAAGATATCATAAGATTAACACACCACTCAGATTCACAACATAGTGTTTTCATCTTTATAGTGTTAAATGAATTAGGTATGGAGAAAAATTACGATATGTATTGTCAACTTAGTGAATCAACCAAAAGCAAACAATTTAAGGATTTATAAGACTTGGATATATGAAAAGTAAAAACTTTTGCAAAGTTTGTCTGGATATCACTTTTTGGGAGTTATAGATTTAATGAAGATTTAAATGAGATCCAAGAAATATTAAAATCTCAAATATTAGATAATTTTTAAAACAATTGTAATCAATAATTCGTAGTTATCAACATAAACAAAACTATAAACATCAATCCAAATAATATTGATCCTACCAAGGACTAGAGACATGGGAAAAAGAAAACAAAACAAAATATCAAATCAAATAATGTGGAAGGCTAATTCAATATTAAGTATTTCCGATAATGAATTAGAACTTACGTTATTAAAGAACCCGTACGTAATGCTGAACTCTTATTTTGGCAAGATGTTGCAATGGCTGACTATCCATTGCTGCAAGTAATTCCTACGAGGAATACATAATGTAATAGAGTACATATGTGGATGAATGAGAAGAACAAACTGGGTATGAGCCCATTTATTATATCAAAGATTGTCCTGAACCTCCTCTTTTTTAATAGTGACAAGGTCATGACTCATGCACTAATTTATTTATTTGTTTATTTTTGTTATCAAATGGTTTGCCGCTTTAAAACGACATCAATGTGTCAGGTCGTGGGGGTCGAGGGGGTAGCGCCCCTCGTAGGGGCTCGAAAGGAAATGTTATTTGAAGAAAAAAAAGGAAGACTTGTATCGAAAGGTGAGTTTACACAGTTGACACAAAGACCCCTAGCTATTTTTTACCTTAAAACCATCTATTCCTATAGGTTTATAAAATTAGCCAAACCCTCTTGACTGGCACAAGTTTGAAGATTTGGAGTTGGGAGAGGTTGGATTACACTGTAAGTGCACTTGAACATTTTTAAGTTATAGCTAAAACATGACCTATAAGAAATTCTATTGGTTCTAGAAAGAGAAAAAAACGTCCAGTGGTGTCTCCGTGCTGCAAGGAGACACCATGCTTATGTGCACGGAAGTATCTTCGTGTGGTCGTGTCTCCGCATGGAGACACGATGGCTAGTGAAGAGATACCGTGTTTATGTAATGGCCGGAATTTCTTGTCATTCTTTAGAAGTACAATACCCTGCCTTGTTGCTTCAAGAGCCAACTTCTTGTACTCTGAAGAACATACGTCTCGAGGTCCAAAGTTTCGGTATCGCTTTCTCACAGGAGCTCCATCAAAATACCAAGTCGGAGTTGAACAGAAAACAGATTGAGCAATGCTCTATCTATGTCTCCATCTGAAAACCTGTCCGTGCTCGATTGCAGGCTTGCAGCTTTAGTGTGCCTTAGCATATACATTCCACAATTAATATAAGTTCCTGCCATATAGTTTAATCATAAATTTGGCATAAATAATAGTTATGTGGGAGTGTGACAACTAATATCCAAGGAAAGCATATGAAACCTATTTTGAGAGAACTGGCAACTGCATCCTCTAGTATTTTTGCGTATTTCTAGTCTTCATATATAGTAGCCACATCATCACAATCCAAAGGAATGTATCTGTATCATGGTATGAAGGAACATAATTATAAGTCTTTGCAAAATATCAGATTGCTCACGTATTATTATAAAAAGGGAAGTAAAATACCACCCTTGAAAACCCCATCCCTTCGAGCTTTCTGTAACAGATCGTGATTTGCACATGGAAATGAAGGAGAAGTTTGAAATGGGAGGTTGCGTAGGAAATGGAGAGTGGGTGGTTGCGTGAGATAATGGAGAAGCAGAAACGGCGGTGCGACTAAGATCATCCACATTATCGTGGAAAAATACTAGTTAAACTTTATTTCTTTTTCAATTTTTAAGTAAAATGGGTTACATGTTCAAGCATAGAGGTGGCAGGATTTATTTTGGTATATCTATAAAAAGAATTAAATTAAACCAAGAAACTATCGGTAAACCAAATTGTGTATTATATTTGTTTGGTTATATAACCAAAAAAAATCAATTTATTAATACTTAATACAATGTAAAGTTTTATCACCAAAAGTAAATGCTCACAACCAAAATCAAAAAATAAGTCTATTCAATAAAAATTTCAAGTAAAGTTCTATCACCAAACATTAATACTCGCTTTCAATATCAAAACTATAAGCCTCGCTCAATGACAACGACAAGTTTCATCTTCATACAAAGTGCATGTTTGGCAGATCTTATTATTCACAAGCTACCCAATTATAATTTTATCCACACATTTACTAGGAATCACAACTTTTATGTTACAAACCAATTTTAATTAGTCAAAGTCAAAGGTTGAATTGTCTAAGTCAAGGTCAAATATGGACTTAATTGGAATAATTTATTTTCTTGGGGCTTATTTTATATCTAATATAATTGAGGGTTAAGATGGATTAGAATTGAAGTGGAGGATTTACTTATACATTTTATGATAAGTGGGGGACTTCCTTTGCAATTATCACTTAATGTTCCAATAATTAGCATATATTCTAGACCATTTCCCATTTCTTCACACATATACATAGATAGAGACGGGCAGAGAGAAAGAAACCGAGAAGAAAGGGAAAAAAAGGAGAAAGAAGAAGAAAAGAAAGACGAAAAGAGGAAGGAAAAAGAGAAAGGAAGAGGAATGAAAGGATGATGGGTAAGTGTTATTTTCCCTAATTTTAGGTCTAAATTATCCATTTCTTCATAAGATGAATGAAGTATATTATGTTAAATTTCTAGGGTTTTAATTGAGTGGTTTAATTTTTCAGATTAAGTTGAAGATATACCCTAGTTAGTTCAAGTTTTTGAGTGATTGCCTTCTATTTACATCAAGGCAAGGAAATTTTGTTTTGGGTAAACCCTATAATTTATATTTGGATTCTTGAATGAAGTATGTTTTGTGGAATATTTATGTTGATGAAATACTCGTTTGGAAGAATGAATTTTATATTAGAATATAAAAGTTAAGTGGATTTTTTTATGGTTACTAGTTAGGTTTGAAGAAAGATTGTAATGGGGTTGAAAAGAAGATTATATTAATGAATTAGTTATTCGTAAATGGATAGAAAATGTAATTAGTTTCAATGGATTAAAAGAGTAATTTGGGAAAGTTATTCAGGTATCGAGAAATGTAGTTTAAGAATTATAGAAATGGACTATAAGGGTTTCTTGTTTTGATAGTTGTTTAATTGATTATTCATATCGTATTTCAGGTGGTAACGAGGAGATTGGAAACGTTTATCAGCCAATCTAGCTGATAGCTTATTTTGAGTGAGTGAAAAGGCTTATTTTTCAGAAATAAATAATTATTAAATTTATATCATATTAGAAAGTTGATTATTTCTTATAATTGGTTTAACAGCATGATTTTCTGAATCAAATGGATTTTATACTCAAATCTTTAAAAATTAAATTAAGTTCATTTAATCATTTCTCTAGCATGTTATATTCATATTACATATTTCAGTATATTTAGAGTTATTTTAAAACCACCAAAAACTACCCTGGTGATTTTACCCCTGTCTGCAATGATGTGAATGTGTTTCCACGGTGTATGACTTCTTATGGTTATTTTACCCGATCTGCACTGATGTGAATGTGTTTCCACAGTGTATGATCACTTATGGTGATTTTACCTGCTCTGCACTATTGTGAATGTGTTTCCATAATGTATGACCAGATTATAGCTCTGCACGCGTATGACTCAGAATTACAGAATTTCAGAATATCAGCAATATGCTTTCAATGATTCTTATGCATCGAAAATCGAGCAAATTAATGCAAGTTACTTGCAATAAAAAATCACCTATGTGAGAGAGAAGTTGGGTCGCTTCTAAAAGAATTGTGTGTGGCTTGTGTTAGGAAGAAACATGTGTAGAGTATATCATCTCTTACATAAAAGACAGAACAATTCAAGGACATCGTTTCTACTGGTCAATTAGTAAAGTAAGTATACTTTCACAAGAAAAATGCATACCTATCCTATGCAGTTTCAACTGTTGAACTATAACACCAAGTCTTTATGTCTTCCATTTCTATGTGTCCCTCAAATTTCATTCATGTGGGAGATTGTTGGATAAATAAATAAATTAATTAAAGGACTGACTTTGGTATAAATTTTGAGTGGGACTCGTTTGTTTATTTTTTAATATCAAGATTAATTTGTGTTATCCTCCGTGAGAGCATCGAAATCATATATTTACTTGTCAAAAATGATGCTCGGGTGAATGAAAAATTGGAAATAAAATTGATGAATTGGAAGAGGTTTTGTGTTGTAGGAAAACTAATTTAAAGTTAACCCACATAGGAAAATAGATAAATGCAATGACTATTTTAAATATGATTACAATTTAGAAGGGTGTAATCATGTGTAGTGTAGAGACTTTCTCTCTCTGTGCACGCGGGGGTACAAATCACGGATCGAAATAGGTTTCAGATCTTAAACTTGTGTGCGGGCGAGACCTGCATACACCAATGTCGGACCGAATGGACCAAAATTTGCCCTTAAGAAGGTTCGAGTTTTACCTTTACTTTTGATAACCCAGAAATAACTAACCAAGAGGGGGCGAATTGGTTTTTAAAACTTTTTCGAAAAATTAATCTAAAATCAAATACGTAATAACTAGATAGATTAATTCAACTAATAAGCACGAATATGAAAACAATAAGTGTAGATAGATAGAGGATGCAAACGATATAATTATGGAGGTTCGATCCAATGCAATGATCTACGTCATTCGTAACCAAGCTCTCCGAAATGAGCAAGGCCAATTTCATTATTTTGATTGACTTGTGGGGCAATCCAACCATTTACAATACTTTCGGCCACTTACAAACAAGGAGTATCGATCCTTATACAACGTTGAGCTTTACGGAACTTCAACACGACCCACAAGTTTTAAAGAAAATTGGTTTTACAAATGAAACTTCTCTCTTAATAAATAATATAATCACAATTAATTACCAACAGAGAAATATGCTAACATTTTAATAAATAGCAATGAATGAAGTTCAAGTGTTATGTATGAAAAACTTTGATGTGTTGAATGATTTTCAAAAGTTAATTTGATCAAAAAAAATTCAAAGCTAAAATGATTTGATGATAATAAATGAGATGAGAAATCAATATGATTTTGCTCAAAAATATCTCACTTGAATGCTCTTAAATTTTGTAATGAATGGCAAGTGAGTTGGTATTTATAGCAGTTGAAAAATTTCAAAAACTCTGCCGAACTAGAGAATCATTAGGAAGTTCGGTACTATTCCAGATGAATGATTGAGCTGTTGCTCGTCAGGAGTCAGAAAGGTCAAAAAATCGATCGTTGAGAATAAACCGGACGTTCGGTTTAACATCCAGATGTCCGGATGGATCGAAATCTTTAGCTCCTCTCGTTTGATTGTTTGAAACAATTTAGGCTTACAAATGACATTTTTACTTGATTTTTCAAGGTAAGTGATTCTAGTAGGTTTGAAAATTAAATTGAAATTCTTACCTTTGAAAAATAAATTTTGTGCAAACTTTTTATGAAGTAGATCGTTACTTGGGCTTCTAATGAGTCATTGCTAAGGATTAAAGTATTTTACGTTTGCAAATGTGCTCAAACATCTAGTTCTAATATCTTCGATTGATTTGGCGCGAATGCTCGATTTGTTACTCGATTTTCAATTGACGCATGTGCTCGATTTGTCTTCGATTGTAAATTCTTGAATCCATCTTGAATTTTCTTGATCATCAACTACAAGTCTTTTGATAGCAATTGTTTTGTCTCCAATTTGATCAACATGTAACAATGAAGAATCAAATACAAATAATAGAGATAAAACTACTTTATTTGTTATAATCAAAACATGAGATCAACCATATGTTAATAATTTCCCCATTTTTTATTATAACAAGCAAAAGATGATTTGCAATAAAAAAAATGCTCCATCTTTTATAGATTAAGCATTCATATGATTTTGTTCACCCTTTCTTATATGGCCAATCATGCATATCATCATATATATGTTTTCCCCCTTTTTGGGATAAGAAAAAAGTATACGAAGTTATGTATTGCAAACAACCATAAGCATAAATCATAGCATGAGATAACCAAATGAAAATACATAATATCCAAAAACATTCGAAGCGTAATATCCAAAAACATCCAAAAATACATAATATCCAAAGTATATGGAATTATTCATCGTGAAGCAAACGATATCCATTGAAATCTATGACTACGGCTTCAGAGGAGAGAAGTGGGCATAGAAATTGGCGTAGAAGGCA